CCTTCCGTTGTCCTTCCGCTCGTCTCTCCCTCGATGCAGGGTTTCATTACACATCAATAGGACTCTGGTTACTGCCTCCTCCGCAAGCTCCTGCCCCCCCCACGCCGACGCTCGGGCTCCTCCATTGGATATCTCCAAACCCCTCCATCCCCTCTCCTCCCTCCTGCCTCCTTCATCCGTCTTCATCTCTCTCGCCAACTCCCCTCCTCTCTGTTTTGTCCTCCGCACATCCGTCTTAACTATCCTCCCTGACATGCAACCGGTCCCTCCCTCCGTCTCCGTTCTTCCTCCGTCTGCACCCTCCCTTCCTCTGCCTCTCCGTCCTGCTTCCCACTCTTCCTCTCTCCCTCTGACTGGCTAGAGCTTTATCTCTGGAGCCGTGTCCCCACCTCGCCATCTCCCTCTGCTGTATATTCTTCTGATCGTTTCTCGTCCATCCCTCATTTTCTCCCTCTCCATTTCCACCCCCCCCCCCCCCCTAACCCCAAGTGCTGTTGATGGTGGAGCTGGACGTTGGCCAAATACCAGCGGGGGCTGAAGAGAGGGCTCCTTGTTTCCCCTTTTTCTCCGACCGTCCCCTCTCTTTCTCTTCCTGCTCATCTCATGGCTTGCTATTTCTGGCCTTTTTTTTCTTTTTCTTTTTTTTTTCAATGCACGTCGTGCCCTTTCCTTCATCTCCCAGTCTGCCGTCATGCTGCTGCCGGTCTGCATTTCCCGTTCTGCCAGCAGCTCGCATGGCCAGTGGCAGCTCAGTCTCCGTGAGGGGCCCGTGTTCTCTGTCTGCCGGTGGCCCCCGCTAGACGGAGAACAGACGGAGGCAGGCCGGCCCAGAGAGAAAGTAGCAAAAGGTTCAATTTGGAGGAAAAAAAATCAGTGTTTTTAAAGGAACCAAAGCAGATGACAGGGGGAGGGTTTAGCTATCGGATCACGTCAGAGACTGTCAGAGATTGGGTCTGTTTCGTGATCACGTGCTCTTTTCTCCATAACAACTCGGGGCCATCACAGGATCCCGTCCACGCCTCCAAAACATTGGATTTACGGCACAAAGCAGACGCCACGTTTTCGAACTGCACATGGTTAGATGGTTTTGTCCTATACGCCGTTGTGGTAAAGTCTCACGCTCCTCCATGAGCTCCAACCGTGAGCTCCAACCGTAGAAAGAAAAACCAATATGTTCCCAGCCAGTAAATTTTGAGCAGAGAAATGCTTGGGAATGTGTGCTAGGAGGGGTTTTTCCTAGAGTAAAATTTCCCCTCGTGTTTTGATTTTGGCACGCTGTTTTCATAGCACGGCAAGCAGGGAGCAAAACTTGGTTAAAGGGCAGGATACAGAATTTTTTGATTTTTAGTTTTAGTAGAGAGAGAAGAGGGAGATTCCAGAGGCATTTGAATATTAACTGCACAGATCCCGGCTAATGAGAGGGGAGCTGAAAAAAGAAGCTTGCATGCATCCTTTTCTTTGATCACCGGCGACTTAAACGTTGCTGCTCTCAGTCATTCACGCGTCAGTTCCTTTTGCCGTAACGCTCCTCACAACCTACCTGATGGCGCCGGCTTTTTACCCACCGGGGAACTTGCAGTGATGGGCTCAGCCGTCATCAGCTCAAGAAAAATGGTATCTTTCCTTTCTTCTAGGGGATACTGTATTTGCTATTATCTTTTTGCCCCCCTCCCCAGGCTGCTCAGGTGTTAGACTGGTGGGACACGTCTTTTAAGACCGTTTTTTTTTGGGCTAGAAAGCAAACCAGAGGCCCGCTCTGCTCACCGGCTGACCCTTTTCCCTCTATCTACTCTCACAGCCTGTGTTTAATTCCCTGCCTATGCAGAATTGATTCATTTTCATGTAAATTTTGCGTGTAGAAATCCAATAAAGAACCTATACGGTCAAATTCTCACGCCTATAACGATCTTTTCACCGGCTGGAGTGCCCCACTCTGGTTGTTCTTATCACAGGAGCTCACACTAATAAGCCCCTCTCTAACCTGAGATGGTCCACGCTGTACGCCTCGGACCTCTGTCCGCCCCCCCTCCCGCTTTCTACAGAACGTAGCGCAGCCACGGGCCGGGGTTAAGCACGCCTAAATCTGATTAGGCTCCGCCCCCCCCCACAGAAGAAGTTAAAGGAGCTTCAGAGCTCTCCCAGGCTCTCTCCTCCATCCCCAGCCGCCGCTTTTCCCAAGTTTCCCAGCTCTGCCCCTCAGCCGGGCACTCATGTGCAACCAGCATATGTCAAACAAGTCTTGGGAGGAAAGGCGGAGCCCGGGCGGCCGGCGGGGGGAGAGAAGAGAGAGGGGGGGGAGGCTGGTGAAATAGGCCTCTTCTTGTTTGGGAGAATTCTCCGGGGGACACCGTGCGTCAGTCATTTTCTGAACACAATTAAAGTTAATGAGCTGTTCTGTTCTCTCTGTGGTGC